ATTCCATGGCCAGAACATGGTCATCTCAATCAACTCTTCCATATTGCTAACTTCATCTCTTCTCACAATATCCCTCTTCACTTCATCTCACTCACTGATCGAAATCAAGATCTAAAAAATCGCGTTCAAAATACCTCAAAAATCCATTTTAATGACCTTTTAGCACCCCCTCTGACCCAAATGTCAGAACCCAGAGAGGATTTTGCTGATGAGTTTGCATTTTTGGAGTTTTTGGATAAATTGGGGGAACCCATTTGCGAAATTTGTGTTGAAATCTCGAAGCAGGCGAAGAAATTGGTGGTTGTTTTTGATTCTTTGATGACGGATGTGATTAAGGGAGTATATGCGATATCAAATGTTGAGTGTTACTCTTTTCATGCGATTTCAGCTTTTTGTATGTATTCTACATTTCAACAGGTTGTTGGTGAAGTTGAAGACGGAGTTGCACGCCAAGTGTTCGATGAAATGCCTGAAGTGGGGGATTGTTTTGGACCCGATATTTTTGAGTTTGTGCAAAAGGAAAGGGAATGTAATCTTAATTGTGGAGAGTTTATGAATTCTTGTAGGGAATTAGAAGGGGAGTACTTGGATTTACTTGTCAATGTTAGGAAGAAGCCATTGTTTGCTCTTGGTCCATTTCATATGTTGCAAGAATTACCCGAGTCATCGGGCAATAGGGATCGCCACGAGTGTCTTGAGTTTCTCGACGAGCAAGATTTTGATTCAGTAATGTTTGTTTCGTTTGGAACGACTACTACATTGTCGCGAGAGCAAGTGAATGAGCTTGCGCTTGGTTTGGAAAGGAGCAACCATAAGTTCATTTGGGTGATAAGAGAAGCGGATAAAAAGATGGAGACGGAGAAATGTGGAGGGAAAGATTGGAACTTTGAATTGCCAGAAGGGTTTGAAGAAAGAATGGAAGGAAGAGGAATGGTGGTGAGGAATTGGGTGCCTCAATTGGAAATCTTGGGACATAAATCTACGGGAGGGTTCTTGAGTCACTGTGGATGGAATTCTTGTATGGAGAGCGTTAGCATGGGAGTTCCGATAGCAACTTGGCCAATTCAAGTGGACCAACCATATAACGCTGTTTTTGTAACCAACGTGCTGAAGATTGGAATCCCGGTTAGGAGTTGGGCTCGTAGGGAAGAATTGGTAACAGCAACAACTATTGAGAAAGCTGTCAGGACTTTGATGGGTACACCGGAAGGAGAAGAAATTCGACAGAGGGCAATCGAGTTGAGCAATAAGATCAAGAACTCTGTTAGCCATGGAGGACTTGCACAGAAGGAAAGGGAATCTTTCATTACTTGTATTACCAAATAAATTTCACTCAATGAACATCAACATTTTGTATCTAAGTATGTCATGAATAACTTTTTTTCAAGTGCCATGTTTCCTTTAAATTTTATGCATACCAAATTTCTGTCATGTTAGTCGTCAATAGACATAATACATAAATGTGCCCTTTAACTTGGTCTCATTTCACATTTATGCCATCCAACTTTGGGTGTGCAGAAGTAGACATTCAAACTTGTATAAAGTTGAACAAGTAGATACATAAGTCCTACGTGGCATAAAACACGTAGGACACCACGTAGGATGCGAATTGCCATGTAGGATGCCACGTAAATGTGTGTGTCTATTTGTGCACATCTAAAGTTGATGGACATACATGTGAAATGATTCCTAGTTAAAAGGCATATTTTTGTATTATGCCTTGTCAATATGCATTCAAACATAAGAAACAAAGGTGGCTAGTGTTTAATTATTAAGGGAAAAGGGTCAAAATTGAAAAGGATTACAAAACCAAATCTCTTTGGTGAAACTAGTAATATGAACAACAATCCATAAATATCAAGGGGGCTAGTGTTTTATTATTAAAGGCCATCTTGTGTCATATTTAACCTCATCATGTTGTTCAAACTCTCCAAAAATGTCATTTGTGTGTGTCGGATCCTTCAAAAGTAATGCAATATTGCAGGATCCGACACAGGTGCAACGACATATTTAGAGAGTCTGGAACAACATAGGAAGTTATCTGGTAATGTACGAGATGAAAGATTCCGTTTCTTCGCGTGCAACTCCTCCATTGCCAACAAAGTTCTTGATCTTATTGCTCAAATCCACTGCTCTCTTCCTTATTTCTTCCCCTTCTGTCGAACCCATCAATGTCTTGACAGCTTTTTCAACAGCAGATGCTGTCACCAATCCTTCTCAGAACCCAACTCCACACAGATTCCAATTTTTGTGGTTACAAAAACAGCATTATATGGCTGCAGGTCTGCATTGTTAGGCCAAGCTGCTATGTGAACTCCCATACTAGTGCTCTCTAAACAAGAATTCCATCCACAGTGACTCAAGAACCCGCCTGTAGATTTATGTCCGAGCATGAGCTCATTGACTTGTTCTTGTGAGAACTTAGTGTTTGTCCCAAACGAAACGAACATTACTGAGTTAACGTGTTGCTCGTCAAGGAATGCTAGGCATTCAGGACGAGTTGTTCTGCTCCAAGTGTCGTGTGATTCTAGGAGCTCATTGACTTCCACAATGGGTTCTTGTTTGTCTTGCAGTTGCCGAAGCATTTTGTCATGATCATCATCAATTATGTCAATACATTGTCGGAACAAAGAATATCTGGTAAAAGCTGGGATGGCGTGGAAAATGTAGGACTCAACGTTTGTGAACGAAAGCCC